ATTTAAAGAAAATATTATTATCAATTACAATTGTTTGTTTTAAGATTTGATAATATTTTTTCCCAATTTTTTTGCAAAACGTGATAATTTTTTTGAGCACGTTTCGTGTAATATTGGAATTTCTCGTGTAATTTTGTTTAATTTTGGTTCTGGCGATGAATTCGTGACAAATGTATTAATTTTGTTTAACGAAATCGCTTGATGTATGTCGCATGATGTCGTTTTGCAGTTTGCTTATCATTTAGCGACAGAAATTGCGCTAGAAAATCTCTGTTACCAAGTGGAACTTGGGATAGAAATATTATAAATTTTATACAGTCCTCACTTTTGAGTCTTATTAGCTAAGACAATCACCAAAATGTATCCTTGTTACAAACCGATAGTAAAAATAGTAATGAGCTCTGAAGATGAGTCAAATAGGAACTCAAAACGTCTGCTCAAGTTTGCTTATTTAGATAAGGCATTTACTAATATTTATCAAATTATGAAAATTATATCTTTACATTGCAAGTACGCCTTGAAAGTGTTATCCAATTTCTTTTATATATTAACAATTTAGATAAATATATGTTTTCGTTTAGAATAAAATAGTGTTGCCACATCATCATAAAAATGTCCCACATAACGCAATGAATCACTTTGCAGAAAAAATCGTTCAAATATTATAGAAATTCCCATGAGTCTCTATTGTTAAAGATACTTGTGCGAAATTTTTGTACCGTTTTGCAAATTTTGCGACACGACAAAAGGCATTCTTTCGAAATTGTGTAAATTACAAATTTTATATGTATATATATATATAACAAATGTATTCTGAGTGGATAGATAGATATTAATTTAGAAATATGAACAAACAAAACACTCTTTTTGAATGAACATTTTTATGTGTATTTTTTTTTAAATGTTTAAAATTGATTCACATATAATCGTATTATCCTACACTATTTTTAGGAGAAGTATTCTCTAGTCCCAATATCACTTTTTCATAATTTAAAAATAGAAGCAAATTGATAGTACACACAAATAACACTCGCTGTTGTTTACACTTTTACTAAAAAAAACTACGAAAACATATTTGAAATAGTATTCAAAATTTATAAAAAATCTATGAATAAGTTTCTGATGATTCAATAAAATTTAATATACTTATTTACATCACAAATGTGAAATAATTCATGCAACTTATTCTTTATTTTTTGTTTGTGGTTAAAAACTTAAAACTTTTAGAAGTGCTGAATGATGACACACATTTGAAACGTCCGGAGTTGATATTTTTAATGTATTTTTTGTTTTTTTAACTTCCCGAATTCGATACCTATTAATAGGGAGATGTGCTGATTAGTTTTTGGCAAAGGCATGCCCAGCGGTTTCGGAGATACAGAGCTAAATGTTAAAAAAATGGCAGTTTTTCATAGAACTAAGCGTCCGATTTAAATGATTCAAAGAACTTTCTGCTTGTTTCAACAAAATAATTGCTTTTGTAAAAAATTTTTGTTTCTAATTTTTTTTTTCAAAAAATATTTTTGTAATTTTGGATTAAAAATTCAAAAAATTACCCAGGTTAAGCACATTCTAAGCGCTACTCTGGTACAAATGTTTTCGCAAGTGCGTTTAGACTGTTTATGTACTGGAGCAATTTCCAATTTTGTGAAAACTATTGAAAAGTGTGAAAATGCCGCCAAGCTAAGCACAGTATAAGTGAAAATGTCGCACGGAATTATTTGCAAATGCGTTTAGACTGTGACTATACGGGACTTTTTCAATTTTGTGTTAGGAAACTATTTATTTTTTTTTTGAAATTGAATTCGAAATGAAATGACGATTGTTAATGTTCTGGAGATAAATTGATTTATGATTTATGATTTACATTTGATTTGCTTAGATATAACTAACGAGATAGCAAAAATAATGAAAGTTACAGTATTTGTAATAATATATTTGAAAGCGTTTAAAATTTTTTGAATATTTTATTACGGTACGGGAAGTTCCAGCAATTTTTCTTAAGGCACGATGCCATGCGCCTCACTAGTTTCTCTATAATATTTTTTCTAATCAATGTATGTCATAATATCGTAACGGGTCTCTGAAGTCTAGTCTAATCTAATCTAATAAAAAACAAATGGTCTACAAAAATAATTATTTTTACTTCATTCTCCATGTCACTGTTTATCACATAAATGTTATTAAATCATATAAACAGGCACGATAATAAATATTTATTCCCAACAGTTGAGACTCGAAGTGGTCGCATTAGGTCTATGAACTCGATAATTCATTTATATATAAATATATAAATATATATATATATATATATATATATATATATATATATATATTTGTAAAACTATATCGAGATGTTTATCATGGCTTGTGGAAATTTACTAACAACTATATAGATAAGTGCAAGTGATTGCGAATCAAATTAATAGACCTATTATTGGCCAAGACGTTTCTCTTATTGCACTACTCACCTTATCTTAAAATGAAATATGTAATTTGCTTCGATTTTACAATCCAACAAATAACTAGTTGGTATTGGTATTTAGCCTTGAGGCAAGTTACACAAACATCCCGATATGTGTAAATAATCGACTTGATCAATAAAAAATAAATTAATTTATGAGTGATTAAAAGTATTCCGAGTAGATTTAATACACATAATTGAAAACAAACGAACACGTTAACTCGGAGTATTTTCTTTAAGCAAATTTTCAAAAATCAATAATTTTTATAATTCAAGTAATCTATCGTTATACCAAGTAAATCATCTAATTTTAATTTTAACAAACGTCAAAAAAAACTATTCTCATTTTCTCAAACTTTGATGAATTTTTAAAATTAAAGTACTTGTCGTAATGCCGTAATATTTCAGTAAGTTCTATAAGACCATGATATATATCGCCAAAAAAAGTTCCATAAAAATCGGCTTAAATTTTTTTTTCAACAGTTAATTACAAGAAAACGGCTCGGTAGATTTTCATCTAAAACTAATCAGTATCATTCCCAACTAATATGTTTTGAAACATTTTTCAATTTTTAAAATCGATTCGGTAGTTTGAGCTCAAATGTGGATGAAAAGTTTAACACTCTCTTTCAAATTACAAAGAAACGGCTCGGCAGATCGTCTCACAAAACTGGCAAACTATAGTGCTCATTGAGATACATCAAATGGCTCTTAAATTTCTGAAATCGGTTCAGGCGTTTTTGAGAAAACGTCGATCAAAGTTCTAATTTTGACAAATGCCAAAAAGAGCATACTAATTTTTGCAATCTTTGACGAATTTTTAAAGTTAAACGAGTTGTCGTCGGGCCGTAATATTTTAGTATGATCTAGAAGACTATGATATCTACCGTCAAAAAAAATAATAATAAAAATCGTCGAAAAACAATTTTTTAACACCTTATTACAAAAAAACGGCCTGGCCCGATCTCTACCAAAAACTTTCATAATAGGTTGTCAAATATCTCCCTTCCGCCTTTTTGTATTATAAACCAAGAGCAAAAAAGCGGAAGGGAGATATTTGGCAACCTAATATCTTTCGAACGATTTTTGAATTTTCAAAATCGATTCAGAATTGCGGGCTAAAATGTAGATGAAAATTTTTTCACTTTTCTGCAATTTATGAAGAAACGGCTTGGCCGATCGTCGCACAAAACTGACAAACAATAGTCCTCATCGAAATACATCGAGTGGCTTTCAAATTTTTGAAATCGGTCCAGCCATTTTTGAGAAAACGTCGATTTACGGTTAAAAATCTGTTGGTGCATACGCTAACACACACACACACGCATACTTTTTCCAAATTTGGTCTCATTCGATTCATAATGGCTTGAAACGTAAAATATAAAATATAAACTTGAAAATATAAAATTAGCGAATCGGATTTTTTGATGAAAACATAAACTTCTCCTTCGGGAAGTTACAAATTTGCATAGTGGTTAACAATGCAACGTATTTATTTACTGAGGAATTTTCCAGAATTTCAAAAGAAGTGTGTGACATTTGTACTCAATCAATTTCAATTTCATCTCCGAGTTCAAATGGTCTTTCTGATTTCGAACTAATAATCGATTATGTAGAAATCCTTCCTGAACTATATAAATTCATCTTCTCAAAATTGTGATTTCTTGATAATAAAGTATTTATAAAGTAATACATAAACTACAAGAATATATAAGGTTGTCAAATATCTCCCTTCCGCCTTTTTGTATTATAAACCAAGAGCAAAAAAGCGGAAGGGAGATATTTGACAACCTAATATGTGTAATTGAAGTAATTGAGATCCATACTCAATAATTTCTGGGAAATAGAAACAAATTCAGCAATATGTAATTATTAGAGCAAATGTACGTGTAAAAACTCCAAGAGTTAAAAACAAAATACACCTAAGTCTGTTTTTACACTGTAGATTGGTTTCAGAAGAAGCCGTGTAAAAAAAACCGTGTAAAAAAAGACATTGATCTTATACAAAAATGGGTGATTTGTTCCTAATCTCTAAAACCTATTAAAATTAGTGAAAAACAATAATTTTTAAGAACATAAATGCACCTAAAGGGAATTCCCCTAAATTAGTGCTATTCACATTTGCTTTCACTATTAAAAATTGTTTGCACGCGTTAAAGGGGAATTCACTTAAATCTTTAAGCTAGTGTTCGCAAACTATCGATACTATCGATGGTTTCAGACTTTTTTCTTTCATAAATACTTTTTTGTGATATGAACATACTTCGCAAAAATTAAATTTGACAAAAAAAATTTAAGTACATAAAATTTCAAATCGTGCTAAATGGAATAAAATCGTGTAAAAAAATTAAAAATATTCAATTTTCAAACCGTGTTATATCAAAACCGTGTACAAAAAGACCGTGTGAAAACAGACTTAGGTGTAGATGGATTCTTGCCTAATTAGAGATAAAACACTCCAGTGTAATTTTAAACTTATTGTTACCACTTACACCTAATTCATATATCATTTACCCATTTACCCATTTACCCTTACTTTGTTTTCCTCAAGAACTTTTCCTTGGCGATCTCTTTCAAACGGAGCGATCCGCCAATGTTGTTCGGCTGCGGCTGTTTGACGCCGCCTCCTCCTCCGCCGGCGTCATTTGGCGTCAGATTGTCTTCGTTTGACGCAAAATGCGAATTCGACGGATACCTTTGCACGAAGCACAACATCTTTTTCAATTTGACAGCGTCAAAAACACTTGTGTCTCATTTCCACGAATTTGCGACACTTCTTGTTCATCGATATTTGGTAATTGGTAGAAGAATTAGTCCTAATGGTGATAAGTTGATAGTTTTAGAATAGTTTGTTTTGGAGATTGAAAGCGCTCAAATTATAAAAAAATTTGGGAGATATTTTTGTTTTTTTTTTTTTTGGAGTTTGATATTTTTAAGTTCAAGTCTTCGTAATATTATTATCATTATTATTATTATCTTACTATTTCTATTATTATTATTTTATTATATTTTATTATTTGTTTAGTATTATTTTATTATTCAGAAATTTTATTTATATTATTTATTATTTTTATTTTAATTATTATTTGCTTATATTTCATATCAAATCATATTACGGATATTATTTTCATGTAAATTTTATCCTTTGCACTTTTATTTGTTTAAATATATGTTATTATTTATCAATATTACTAGATGTTAATGATTTAACAGTTGTAATACTTATTGAAATCAAAAAAAAAAAAGTCTTCGTAATAGTTAGGGCATTGTAAAGTTTTGATTCCCAATTTGTTTTTAAGAATTTTCGATTTTTAGATGTTGAAATTTAGAAATTTTGAAGTATCTACATTTCGAAATTGTTTCATTTTGATATTGACACTTAAAAGTTGCAATGTATTGAAAATCAATATATCTATAAAAAGTTTGAATTATGCATTTTGAGTTAAGTTTGATTGACATTTTTAATTTAGAGTTTCAACATTTTACGAATCAACTAAATTTTTAAATGAGAGTTTTAACATTTTTCAAAGTTGGGGAAGGGCAGGCATTTCAAAAGCTTGAAGTTTCAACTGTTTCCACTTTTTTATTCTTCATTTTGGAATTTTACTGTAAAAGTTGCTTCATTTTAAAATCATCCTTTAAATGTTGCAATATTAAGTTTAGTCAGTATATTTGGGAGTTATTTTTAACAATTGACATCAGTTTTAGATTGAAGTTTCGATCTTTTGAAGTTCAGACACATCAAAATTTTAATATTTTAAAGTATCGACTTATTCTGGTTAAAATTTTTGAAAGTGTTTTAATTTTGATGATTCAATATTGAAGTTACATGTTGAAATTAACATTTTAAAGTTTTATATGGAATATTCAACATTTTCTTGTTAGGACTTTTGGAGTTAAATTCCAAAGTTCCATTATTTGAAGTTACGACTTTTTAAACTTACAAAACTTTGAGAAACTTTTATATTTAGAAATTGACATTTTCAATGTTCGGCGTTCAAAATTATAAAGTTTCAATATTTTTAAATGAGACATTTTGAAGTTTCAATATTTTTGACATAAATTTTGACATAACGTCATTTTTCTAGCTTTATTTTAAAATCAATGTTTTCAAGTTGCAATATTTTTAAATTGGCATTTTAAAGTTTCAATATTTTTTCCTTGAAGTTTTATATGTTTTGAATATTCGACATTTTTATGTTGAAGTTTCGACATTTTAAAACTCCAAAATTTTGACATAACGTCATATTTTTCTACTATATTTTGAAATTCACATTCTCAAGTTGCAAAACTTCAAATTGGCATTTTAAAATTTTAATATTTTTAAAATTGACATTTTAAAGTTTCAATATTTCTTTTTTTGAAGTTTTGATATTCTGAATTTTAGACTTTTTCAACTTAAAATTTTGACATATTTAAATTAAAGTTTCGACATTTTGAAACTCCGAAATTTTGACATAACATCATATTTTTATACTATATTTTCAAATTGACATTTTCAACTTGCAAAGTTTCAAATTGACATTTTAAAAAATGCAAATTTTTAAAACTGACATTTCGAAGAGTCAATAAGTCTTCTTTTGATGTTTTGATATTCTGAATTTTTGACTTTTTTAACTTGAAGTTTCGGCATATTTAAATTAAAGTTTCGACATTTTGAAACTCCGAAATTTTGACATAACGTCATATTTTTCTACTATATTTTGAAATTGACATTTTCAAGTTGCAAAGTTTCAAATTGGTATTTTAAAAAATGCATATTTTTAAAATTGACATTTTAAAGTTTCAATATTTCTTTTTTTGAAGTTTCGATATTCTGAATTTTCGACTTTTTCAACTTTAAGTTTAGACATATTTAAATTTTGGATTCGACGTTTTGAAGCTTCGAAATTTTGACATTACAACATCTTTTACTCTATTTCAAAATTGACATTTTAAATTTTCAATATTCTTCCCTTGAAGATTTAATATTTTGAATATTCGACATATTCTGGAGAATGTTTTGACATATTGAAGCTTCTCAATTTTGACATAACGTACTTTTTTCTTACTATATTTTAAAATTGATATATTTAAGTTGCAATATTTTTAAATTGATACTTTAGAGGTTCAATATTTCTCCCTTTGAAGTTTTGGATATTGTAAATATTCGACATTTTTAATTTGAAGTTTCGGCGTTTCTAAGCTCCAAAATATTGATATAAATTTTCGTCCAAAAAGTTTGATAGTTATTTTCGTCTTGTTATATAATTAAACTGATATTTTTAATTTGCGGCGTTCGAAATTGATATTTTCAGATTGACATTTAAGAGATTTAATATGTCTCCATTTAAAGTTTTCGATATTTTGAATATTAGACATTTTTAATTGAAATTACTACATTTTCAAACTTCTAAATTCTAGTTATTGCTACATTTTGAATAAAATATTTTGAAGTTTTAATATTTTGAAGTATGCCATTCTGACTTTTGCAGCTATCATTTTTGTCGTTAAAAATTTTGAAGTTTTAAAATTTTAAACTTGATTTCGCATTTTTAAACTTAGTCAAATTTAACTTTGGTTGAATTATCTAAACGTTAATGTTAAGAGCTAGAACTTCCAGAAAAAAGTTTTTTATTAATTTGGAACCATTTGAGCCCTTGGGAGCAAGGAAATTCGAAAATGTCCATGTTAAGGACCACCATAATATATATAAGATTTGTCATTTCTGCATTATTAGATTTGCATACCCACTATCGATTTATTATAATCAACTAATTAAAATATTTATTTTTTTAAATTTTACCAATTCCTTGTATGAATATGTAGGTCGATCACCATCGTATCGAATCGATATAATTTATTCAGTATCGAATCTATTATTAAGATAATCTTATTACAAAAGTTAGTAGATTTCACGGTCAACAGGTGAAAGTATATATGTATTCTAATAAGAAAGATCTTGAGAATTAATCAAGATCGAAAACAGAAAGACACACAGATCGAAAATAGAGATCATGCGATTTATGAATGTAGGCAGCAAAATTATAATTCATAAATTAATATAAGACAATGGATAATTATAATAATGGCAGTAGTCATGTGTTCCATATAAGTGAAACTGTAAATCAAAATTTAATTTTCTAATAAATTTGTTATTATTATTATTGGTGCTCTGTCTGAATAAAAAATGTAGTTGCTACTTGCAGAATGTAGTAGTTCAAAACGTCGAAATTTCAACTTAAAAATATTAAAATTTCAAAGGAAGAAATATTAAATTTTTAAAATATCATTTTAGAAATATTGCAACTTGAAAAAGTCAATTTCGAACGCCGCAAATTGAAAATGTCAATTTCAAAATATTGCAAAACAAAAATAAATAAGTCAAAATTTGGGATCTTCAAAACAATAAATGTCGAATATTTAAAATAACCTAAACTTTAGTAGGAAAAATATTGAATCTCTAAAATGTCTATTTCAAAATATTATGTTGTCAAATATCTCCCTTCCGCTTTTTTTGCTCTTGGTTTATAATACAAAAAGGCGGAATGGAGATATTTGACAACCTAATATAGTGAGAAATTAATGACGTCATGTTACAGATTAAAATACAACTTTTAAAATACAACGTTTATGATTGAACTAGAAAATCTAAACCTAAACCCAAATAGTCTTACCTACACTTAATAATTTAATCTTTATACTTTTTTATTTGTTGCCAAAATTTGATTAAAATGTTTCTTTAGATGATTTTATAGGAAACCAATAAATAATAAAAGATTTTTGTAAATACATAATTACCAAAAATACATAAGTTTTATAATTACATTATTCTATTTTGATAAAATGAATTTCAGCATTTAAGACATTGGATACTTGTATTTGTATGCGAAATCTAATAAGTTTTGGGAAATAGTGTCAAATGAAAAAAATATATGTATATATATATATATATATAATTATATATATATATAATTATATATATAATTATATATCAGCAATTTTTAGAATATCAAATGACGATGCTGACTACATTTTTTAACTTGAGATCAATTTTTTGCTTAGTAAGAGTTTACACAAAGTTGCAAATCTGATTACACATATATTTATATAAATATATATATATATATATATATATATATATATATGAATGAAATTTGGCACTTCCATTTTGCTGATTCAGTAGACTTAAACTGCATTGACATTCAAATAAAATTTGCATACAGTAAGAAATTTAAAATAAATTTATCATAACTAATAATTTAAAACTTTATTCATAAGGACATATGCTTTTAAATATAACGCATTTTTAAAAAAAATTAATTAGTAATTGCACTCACTACAAATAACTAAAGAAAAGTATAAAAATAAATAAATTAACAAACTAGAGTAAAAAATATTCTGAGCTTCGTACTAAAGGCCATGTGCCTCTCAAAAATTAAAAAAATGTAGATGTAAAAAATAGTATGATAAAACTTTAAAATGAAAATTAAAAAAAAAGCTTCATACCTCGTAACAAGTAAACAAATATCCGAATTTTGTGAACAATTTAAGTACCACGTAAATGGTATAAAACAATAGTCCTATATATTTTAAAAAATGTTACGAGAAAATGAAAAAGACTTATACTGAAAAGAAAAAAGTAGATTTAAATTCATAATCAGAATTTGGAACTTTAAAATGACGAAAAAACTAATTATTTAAAATTTCAAGTTTCTAAGTTTAAAGAAATAGACACAAAGTGTCTAATATTTATTTAAAAAATATATTTTTTTCAAATACAGTAAAAACTCGTTTAACCGGACTAATTGTTATCGATAGGTATCCGGATGATCAAAAATCCGGATAATCGAATATGTAAAGAATAATGTAATGTATTTATTAAAACCAACAAACACATAAATATCAACGAAAATCAATGTTTATTAAAAAATTATCACTTACTTATGTATTTACATACATATTTTCTTATCATAATTAATTTATCATTAAATATAAATAAGCATTAATAAACTTTAATTCGGGAATAAAATATTTAGGTACTTAGGTGAAAATAATTTGTTTACATCATGTATTTGGTAATCATGTAATAAGTAGGTAATAAGTTCTATTTGGTCTAAAATATTTGGTCATATAAATTGGTTCGGATAAAAGAGTTTTTACTTTAGTTGATTTTTATGATAGAGTACCTTGAACAGTATAGAGTTCCCCATATAGAATTTATTATATATATATAATATATATATATATATATATATATAGTATGTATATATTATAATTACATTAGTCTAAATCGAGGAAGCAACCGTTGATTATCTTCCAAAGATAACTATCTTAATCGTCAAACGTGTCCCCAACAATTTACCGATTAGTTTAGTTTAGTTTACGGTTTAGTAAAGGAAACCTTAGGACCAAATTAGATACAAATCGATTATCGATTAGGAACTAGATGAATTCATAATGTCCAATTAATTAACAAGCATGTTACCCGAACACTTCAGTTCTTGAAAAAATTCTTAATCAAGAACCACCAGATAGCAATTTTATGATCATCCGAAAAAAGAAAAAAAAAGTGGTACTAAATTATAAAGTGATCTAGCAAAAAGGTCAAAAATATTCACAATTTTTCTTATTTATTCATAATTTGCAAGCAATTTGAATATTTTCTGCAAACCGATAGTAGTTTTATGATTATCCGAAAAAAGAAAAAAAATGTTACTAAATTTTTTTTTATAACTAATTATCACTATCAGACTAGAAATAAAGTGATCTAGCAAAAAGGTCAAAAATATTAACAATTTTTTTTATTTATTCATAATTTGCAAACGATTTAAATATTTTCTCTGCAACCGATAGTAATTTTATGATTATCCGAAAAAGAAAAAAAATGTTACTAAATTTTTTTTTATAACTAATTATCACTATCAGACTAGAAATAAAGTGATCTAGCAAAAAGGTCAAAAATATTAACAATTTTTTTTATTTATTCATAATTTGCAAACGATTTAAATATTTTCTGCAAACCGATAGTAATTTTATGATTATCCGAAAAAAGAAAAAAAATGTTACTAAATTTTTTTTATAACTAATTATCACTATCAGACTAGAAATAAAGTGATCTAGCAAAAAGGTCAAAAATATTAACAATTTTTTTTATTTATTCATAATTTGCAAACGATTTAAATATTTTCTGCAAACCGATAGTAATTTTATGATTATCCGAAAAAAGAAAAAAAATGTTACTAAATTTTTTTTATAACTAATTATCACTATCAGACTAGAAATAAAGTGAACTAGCAAAAGGTCAAAAATATTAACAATTTTTTTTATTTATTCATAATTTGCAAACGATTTAAATATTTTCTGCAAACCGATAGTAATTTTATGATTATCCGAAACAAGAAAAAAATTGAAATTAAATTATTTTATATAACTAATTATTACCATCTGACTAGAAATAAAGTGATCTAGCAAAAGGTCAAAAATATTAACAATTTTTTTATTTATTCATAATTTGCAAACGATTTAAAATATTTTCTGCAAACCGATAGTAATTTTATGATTATCCGAAAAAAGAAAAAATGTTACTAAATTTTTTTTTATAACTAATTATCACTATCAGACTAGAAATAAAGTGATCTAGCAAAAAGGTCAAAAATATTAACAATTTTTTTTATTTATTCATAATTTGCAAACGATTTAAATATTTTCTGCAAACCGATAGTAATTTTATGATTATCCGAAAAAAAAAAAAATGTTACTAAATTTTTTTTTAACTAATTATCACTATCAGACTAAAATAAAGTGATCTAGCAAAAAGGTCAAAAATATTAACAATTTTTTTATTTATTCATAATTGCAAACGATTTAAATATTTTCTGCAAACCGATAGTAATTTTATGATTATCCGAAAAAAGAAAAAAAATGTACTAAATTTTTTTTATAACTAATTATCACTATCAGACTAGAA